ATTTGGGCAGCTTTACTTAGTGCATAGGCTGCCACTTTATTAGTAAAATTTTGGGTGATTTTAGAAAAAATTTATTACAACTGTTTTCATAAATTCTGAAACATCTGGCAAAAAACTGACCGACCGAATATTTACCGATTCGATAAGTTCTGATTCAGCAGCGATCATTACCGAAATCACAAACTTATTGAATCGGCAAATATTCGGTCGGCCAATTTTTTGCCAGACGTTTCAGAATTTATGAAAACAGCTGTAATTCCGGCCTATTCCGGCCCAAATTCGGGCCGATTTGCTGAATTTTGGTGGACCCACTAATCTACTCTTAATTTCACGTCCCTGATTTCGGTGACCACTAATCTATTCGCCAAACTAAAACCATGTTAAGAACACTCATTTTTCCTTTGATAAAATTTACCCTTCACTATGGTCATCACAAGAACGTGCAACTTCGTTTATTATCAACATTCAAAAAAGTTTGCTCCTATAGTAAGGAGGAGAGACTTGACGTGTTGAGACTTGACGTGTTAAGAAAGGTTCATTTACTTGTCTTAAATTTATCACGTGAAAAATATATCGTTTTAATCTAGCTTTCCTACAGGTTTACTCACCCCTTTTAATCCATAAAGAAGGAACACAAGAATGGAACAAACTTATTGAATCTGGGAAAGTTTGGGAAGACTGCTTTCGTCCATTTGAGTGGCGCGCACAAGATTACTGTATAATTTCTTATAACCTGTAATTTTTCGTGTGGAAATACTAACATTTTATCAATCTTTAGGCTTTCAATCTAAATTTGCTGATTTTTGAAAAGTAATTGATGGCCTCAAAACCTCCGCAAAAATTTCATCTGTGGACATTCTAAAAAGGCTGACTGTAAATTTTGCACAACATAGTTGCGCCATAGAAGGAAATTCCTTAGAACTAGCAGAAACACAAATAATTTGAAACATGCTGAAGAAGAATTTTAGCTTGAATAACTTTCTAAAAAATATAGACATGCCATTACCTGCACCGAGTTCTCTTTCTGACAAACCGGAAAATGAAGTTATCAAAATTCGAAACCATCTACTCGTAAACTACTTTCTTTATAATACTTTTTATGAATCAGTGCATGAAATTGGCCTTGACGATATCAAGATGATCCATCGCATTATGTTAAAAGACACACCTCTGGAGAGAGCTAAATTGAGTGAGGGTTACCAACACGTAGGAGAGTTCCGTAAAGTGGAAGTAGAGGCACGTGGTTCGATATACACCGTTTATCCAGTAAGCTCTAGTTAACGTTACTTTAAGATTCTATTGATCACTATTACTGCACCGTTTTTCAATTTTCTAATTTGGGGGACGTCTAAAGCAGATTCTTTATAATATATACTTTATTAAATTAATGGATTGGATTTACTATTTTGTACTAAAAATAGTACATTTTATAAAATTCATAGAAGCATCAAAACTTATTA